TCCTGAAGAAAGGAAGAGTTTTCAATTTCGCTTGAATGAAGTGACCTAGAAGTGTTTGACGACGCGAGTCAAGGCGGGCGCAGGTTCTCGTGAAGTCTCTGGTTTCTGAACTGCTTGACTCTTGTGATGTTAGCACTCACTGAGATAACTCCCCTCGCCTCTATGGCGAGGACAGCTAGATCCTCACGAATATCAATGCAACTTGCGCGATGATTGCGAGCGTAAAGTTTCGGCTGGCCCTCGTACACGTTGCTAAACCTACTTCATTATTCATCGCCCCATTTAGAAATACATATCAGAAACTTGAAGCCGCTGATCACTGAATAGCCTAATATATGTACCTTCACTACCAACCAGGCTAGCTCTTCGAAGCTGCTTTAATCATATTCGAAATTGCTGTTGCAAAGTTTGCGTTAGTTTGTGGGAAGCGAGTAGCGTAAAAGGTGTGAGGGTCGACCGTCCTCCTTCTATGTTAGAAGATCAGTAAACTTATCATTACTAGAACAACAAATGGGACAGATCTTTTGCTTAATCAACTTGTAACTTTGTCCTTCGCTTGCAAATACGTGTGCAATCAATCGTTTTTCCACATTTTCTGTCGATCCTGCTCGTAATTTTAAGACTGATTCAATTTTTAAGATGAATTTTCATAAAAGATGAGTGAGTTGCCATCTGACACTTACAAACAAACGAACCAGAATTTTAATTCCTGTACGTGCTGATGTGTACAGACAAAGAAAATGCAAAGACGAATGGATTTGGCACAACGTGGTAACTGTAAATTAATAGAAACTGAGCTCTTACTAACATTGCGGTCGCGGAAAGATATGACTGACGAGTGACAAGCGATATCACTGCCTCATCCTACCGTAGCGGGATCTCTTACCGGTGCAACGATCTCGTCTAGCAGGAGAGGCAACCTTAACCCTATGCATTTCATAATTATAATCAAAACTGAATGAGGCGTACGTTTTGTTGAAAATATTGTGTGCATGAGGTTCAGAACTCTAGGCTTCCGATGATAACAAGATGAGATTAAATGCCTATATTCAACAATTACGAAAAATGGTTACAATAGGAGGATAGTAAACTCTGTTTTTACTCGCCCTATACGATCTCTTTAACAAGGTTGCCCATTACTATTTTATTTATTCCGGTAGTACTACAAGAAATTCACCGCATCTTACTAGAT